AGTGAGTGAGTGAGTGAGTGTGTATGGGTGTTTCCCAGTACTGGGTTGCAGCTGGAAGGGCGTCCGCTGTGTAAAACATATGCTGGACAAGTTGGCGGTTCATTCCGCTGTGGCGACCTCTCATAAATAAAGAGACGAAGCTGAAAGTAAATGAATGGGTGAATGAGATGTGATCGACTGAAAAAGGAGTGAATGAGAACAAAGTAAATGCGGGGAATAAAAACAGCATGACAAGAGAAATCGTAATAAGAAAAGCCTGTAAATCTAAAGAGAACAAAGGAAAGATGGGCCAATTCTCTGATGGGATATTTCTGTTTTCAAAGACAAACTGCGAAGAGCCATTGTCATTGCATAGACTACCTGTTCCTCAGCGCTTCGGACTCTTCCCACACGTTCCCCGCCAACGTTTCATCTCACACACCGCGCGTTCAGAGAGTTTAACAGGAGTTAATGATCTCATTAAGCCGTAATGTTCTCATTAAAGAGGGCTGGATTCTGAAACGTGGCTTTAACTCGCCGTACACCTGAGCGGACTGCCAATAGTGTGCAGGTAGAGGCTAATATGGTGGATTTCCTCCGAGCTTTGAGGCTGAGCTCTATTAGCCATGAAAGATGCTGTTTGCCGCAGACTGCCTGACTGACTGGAATTTTAATTCGCCATGCAAGGCTCTTTCGGCAGCAGAGCAGATGTGTTTCTGAGAGATTAAATGAGAAAACAAAGCAGCCAGTGGCTGTGTTTCCATCCCAAGATGAGGATTAAAATGATGCGCGTTAACTGGAATATTGCATTAAACATTTGCGAATAAAGATGAGACAAAAAGAGTGAAATCGTCACTTCCGGATAGACTGGCGGCAAATGGAGTTTGCTGTGGTAGCAGAAGGGTCACGTGTCTTTTGGTCATTCAATTTTCCTTTCAGAAACAAATATTGAGAAACAAATAAATATTTAAAAATGCAAATTAAAATATAAGGTGTTTTTCATTTGTATTGTTAAAAACTTTGTTTATTGTCAAAATTGTGAAGTGATTTAATTTCAGGGTTTTCAGGAAGTGACGATTTGGTTCTCTTTGTCTCATCGTAGGAAAATGGTCAGTGTATCTTTTGGTCTTTGGATTTTCATTTTAGAAAGGGATATTGAAAAATTAATAATGAGCCGTTTTTTGATTTTCATTTTAAAATTCAAAAACGAATATTGAAATACGAAGCGTTTTTCTTTTTCATGGTGAAAAACGAAAACGCTAAATTAAAAAATTATTCAATTTAAATTTTTTATTTCGAATAACAAAAAATAAAATCAGCAGAAAACAGAAACGAATAAACACTTGTTTTTTATATTTCTAAATTAGATAGGCCGACTCATTCACGGTGACGCAATGCTGCCACACACAGGCTAGACTACTATAGGCTATTATTTTTTTCCACATAATAATATTATAATAAATTAATAAAGATATGCTCTTGTGATAACAGGCTATTTATTTTTGTTAAGACATATTTTCCACATTAAGATGACATATTTCTCAAATAAGGGTCGTTTATAGGCTATATATTAATTTTTTGTTAGCATGTTTTAAATGAAACAACCTTTATTTTGAAGTTACGTGCAAGCATTACATTGCTTTACTGAACACTTTTCTGGAAACTTCCACTTCTCGAAGTTTTACCATGAATCATTTCAAGTCAGGAAGGCATTGAGACAGTATTTTAAAATAAAAATTAAAAATTAATTTTATCTGACAAACAAACACCCTGATAAGCATCCCGTGTCTTTTAAAAATGGACCATCACTAATTTAATAAATTTATTTCGTCATTAATTTTGAATTTAGTTAAAACCACTGTCACGTTTGTTATTTCGCTGTGTTTCAATAGTTAGTTAAATTAGCCAAATAATTTAATCTAAAAGGCGTTCAGCATGCTTCACAAACACTGATTAGCATTCTAGATGTCTTCAAAATCGGCATACAAAAGCTTGTCGATGTGTGCGTCTTTACCTCAAATACCAACACGATCTCAATTCATAACATTTTGATTTCGTGGTTAATTCGTATGAATTTGTGTGATCTCATTCGTACAATTTAGTACGATTTGCTCATCCCCCAATGACGGTTGGGTTTAGCGGTGGGGTTTGTAGCCACACCTTCTTTCTAAAATCGTACATTTTCGTATGAATGAACTCGTTAGAATTTGCCACTAAACTGACAAAACGTAAAATAATAACGTTTCCTCGTAAGATCAGGCGGCAAATACAGTATTTATATTTATTTTTCTCATTCATTTTTTTAACACATAAAAAAAAATCGAATAACCGATAAGATGCACAAAGCAACTTTGGACGTTTTTTCTTTTTAGAAAAAAAAAAAGGATGCACAGTGGCTTTTGGTAGCGCGAACCCTTAACTGTTCTGTAGGTAATAATAATAATAATAATAATAATAATAATAATAATAATGTTATAATAATAATAATACTTAACCACTTTGATGACATTTTTGCGGAGGGATTTTAAAATGACCCCAAAAAATGTCAGATATTATATTATATAATGTGATCGTTCCACTGCTTTATCCGTTAGTGCCGTCCCATTTTGCCTATTTCTGTTATCACATTATCCATCACATGACTTTTTAATTTGCATACAGGAACTTTATTCGGTAAATGTCTTTCCATCATAGTTTATGTGCATTTCCTTTATAAAGCGTTTATCTGGCTCACTTGTGCATGCACGTTTTTTTTTTTTTTTTGTGTATTTTCAAAATGTATGCCCATCTTGGTGTTTCTATTAGCATTTTTTATTTATGCGCATATGCAAAATAGGTGGATTGAACAAGTTGGAGGGTCCTGCTTCATTAGAAGGAATGTCATGGAAGGGAAATCTGAGTTAAGGCTTCTGCTGCTCTAACTCTCGTCTGCGGCGCTAATATAACCAAATCCCAATGGATTGTGGGTAAGGTTGTAGAGTGTTCATCTGAGGGCAGATTATGCTTAATGAAAGAAGTCCAGGTTTTTTTTTTACTGAAGGGTTTTCAGGATGATAGAGCTTGTCTGAGCTGTGAAGCGAACATTGACAGCAGAGATCTGTTTAAACACAAACAGGCTCAAGGTCTTGAAACATTTATTAGACAGGAACTCATTTACGGCCGCTGCTCTATAGACGGCGGCGGCGCTAATGAAAATGCTAAAGCCGAGAGCTCGGTCTGCCCGCTCGCTCAATTTCACACTGTACTTTCTGCTCTGTTTGAGATATGCATTTTTGATCGCTGCACACTTTACTTTTATAATGCCTTGTTTACCGGTCGCCGTTTCTCAAGGACGTTCGCCAACGTGAGGCGCAAATCGAAATTGACTCGCTTTTCTTTGTGTTTGTCGTGTCCGTTCATCAGTTCTCATCATTCACATTAAGGATCAACAGTGTTTTTGTCTTTGTATCTTTAATTAAATATAGAACTCCTTGCTCCACCTCTGACATCACACCTCTTTTAGCTGGCATCTTCAATCGATTCCCAATGGATGCAATCGTTTTCTCATTGTATATCCAACACATTTTTAAAGATATTTTTTAGTTCACCAAAAAAACGGCAAACACTGTCATACTACTTTTTGATGGATTTTATTTCATTACATATCATACCTGTCTGTTAAAGTTATCTGAGCTTTTTCTAATTTATTCTTAAACAGTTTAATAGCAAAGTACTTAATCTTTTTTACCATTTTCTAAACTTTTGTTATCATTTTTTTATTCAGAGTGTAAACAGAATAAACCATTTTTGACAAAGTAATTAATTATTGTGTCATCTGTAAGGAATTACGCTGGACAACAGACGTGAGGATCCATGTGCAGTTTATTTAAAGAGAAGTTGTGCAGGCGTTGGTCCGAACACAGGAGCATAAAGAAAATCAAAGAAACGAAATCTAAAAACACAGACAAATGGTCAGGCTGAGTGGCGAAGAATCAAAAATGACAGAACAAGATTAAAATCAAAAGAAGCAAAGGCAAACAAGGAAAAACACTTTAAAATACTATACATTGTAAATAAGACTCAGCAATGTGTGTGTGTGTGTGTGTGTGTGTGTGTGTGTGTGTGTGTGTGTGTGTGTGTGTGTGTGTGAAGTGAATATAAAGTCCAGCCAATCAGTCCATCAGTCCATAATGAGTTATCAGCCGTGTGTTTAATCATAGTGCATCAGGAACTGGTGTGTGTGTGAGGTGCATGATGGTATTTGTAGTCCAGTTCAGTGACAAATGTAGTTCTCCAGTGATCTGCAAGGATTAAATCGCTGGTGATCTTGACACATCTTTTATTGTAATGTGATACATTTTTGGTTTGATTTAATATTTTGGTATTTTGTACATTTTTGTATTTGAATAGAAAAACAGATCTGTATTTGAAGAGTTCATATGCAAAAACCTGTAAGTGCCGTCTGAAATTGAAAACGGTTACCGTCCCATGCCTGCTTGTCAATTTGTATATTTGCATTCATTCACTACTTCTATTTTTAAAATATATGTATTTTCTGTTTTTGTCCTGTCTCTGTCATTCTGTTGCACTGTAGAAGCTCCAAAACAAATTCTTTGTTTGTGTGAACACACCTGGCAATAAAGCTCTTTCTCATTCTGATAACATCACTGCATGTTTGTGTGATTTTTGGAGTGGCCTAGTCAAAGTCCTGACCTGAATGTAATTGAGATGTTGTGGCAATTCATGCTTAAAAACCCTCCAATGTGGCTAAATTATAACAATTCTGCATAGACGAGTGGGCCAATACATGTCATATCTGGCTCAGCCATGCAGCTATTTATTTTCAAGGGATGGCAGATGGAGAGAGAGTTCGGGAGTCTCTCTTGGAACTTTATTTGGATGTCACCTTTTTTATTGCTGTTGAATAAGAAACTGTTTTTTTTTTTTGCTGTGTTCTTGGAGAGTGTGTCTCTGCCCTTGGCTGTATGTTTTTATGCAACCAACACATCATATATTCTCTTTGTCTGTTGCTTTGTTCTCAGCTCCTGGAGGGCAGTTTCACCTCGCAGGTCAGCCATGAAGTGGATGGTCTCATCTTCCAGCCTATAGGGGTGAGTCTGACACACACACAGAGTCGGTTCTTATCTTGCTTCTAGTCCAAATATCTAAAAACTCTTAAATGAAGAAGCATTTTCTAGATCAGCAAAAAAAAATCCTTATTTTCAGAGACAATAACTCAAAATTAAGTGAGTTTTTTCCTTAAAACAGCTTTAATAATCTTGTTTTCGCTTCGAAATAAGATGATTTTCCTCACCCCACTGGATTCTGAAGATTATTTTGCTTGTTTTAAGGGAAAACTCACTTCATTTTGATTTATTTCAGCAAACAAGATGATATTTTTGCTTGTCTGTAAAAACACTTCTTGATTTAAGATTTGTTTGTGATATTTGGAGGCGACGGTTCTGCACAATAATGACCTGCAGCGAGCTCAGGAGTAAATAAGAGGGTTTGTTTTAAGTTTGTTCAGGCTTCCTCATAAGTGTTTCAGTCTTTGGCAGCAATAATCCGTGGTTAATGTTGTATTATATGGTGTGTGTGTTCGCACAAATGCTGTCAAGCTGTGATCTGAAATGCTATTGAGGCTCCTGTCGACTCGAATCTAGACGTCATGCTCAGACGGGCTTTTAGTTTGCAGTGTAAACAGGAGTCTTGCACTAATAACATGTGTGTATGTGTCATGTTGTGTCAACCCGAGTAGACAAATTGGATATATTTACTATAATATTATAAATAATGGCTGGCACGGTGGCTAAGTGGTTAGAACTATCACCTTACATCAAGAAGGTTGCTGGTTTGAGTCCCGGCTGGGCCAGTTGGTATCTCTGTGTGGAGTTTGCATGTTCTCCCTGCGTTCGTGTGGGTTTCCTCCAGGTGCTCCGGTTTCTCCCACAGTCCAAACACATGTGGTACAGGTGAATTGAATAAGCTCGATTGTCCGTAGTGTATGAGTGTGAATGTGTGTATAGGTGTTTCCCAGTATTGGGTTGCAGCTGGAAGGACATCCGCTGCGTAAAACATATGCTGGATCATTCATAAATAAAGGGTGACCCCCGATAAATAAAGGGACTAAGCTGGAGGACAAGGAATCAATGAATTATACATGACTTCCGTTGTCTGATTGACTGTTCAGACCAGTGTTTCCCAACCCTGTTCCTGAAGGCACACCGACAGTACACATTTTCAACCTCTCCCTAGTCAAACACACCTGAATCAAGTCATCAGAGCATTAGAAGAGAGTCCATAACCTGAAGCTAATGGGTCAGATAAGGGAGACGTGTTGGTGTGCCTCTAGAAACAGGGTTGGGAGTCACTGGTTTTGACCGTTGGACAGATTATGTTTACATTAAGGTTATTTTAATACACAAAAACAAACAAAAAAAATTGTTAGCTGAAATAAATAAAAAAAATTAACAGCTAAGACTGAGTGAAACTAACTATAATGTAAATTTGCACTGACAAGAAAATTAGCACCAGAAACAAATATTTTTTTAATGATTGTTTATGCATGAAAGACAATTATTAAAGTAATAATCAACATTTTAGCCTACATACAAAATGTGCTGCTGTCGATCTGCACTTGAAAATACAAAATAGTGATTACTGATACTGATTTTGGAGTGGCCTAGTCAGAGTCCTGCCCTAAATCCAATTGAGTTGCTGTGGCATGATCTTTAAAAAGGCGCTTTAAGCTTAAAAACCGTCCAATGTGGCTAAAATTCCCCCACAGTGCTGAAACAGAGACTCCAAGTTATGAAAATTGCTTGATTGCAGTTGTTACTGCTAAGGGTGGCCCAAACAGTTATTAGCTTTATTTCTTCAAACTGCATGATGGCTTTACTTGTGTTTTCTTTGACTAATATTTAGATTTGTTTGATGATCTGAGACATTAAAGTGTGACAAGCATGCAAAACTATTTAGAAATTAGGAAGGGGGCAAACATTTTTTCACACCACTGTATATACAGCATGAACAGCACACATGAGTACACCCCACATGTGTGTGTGTGTGTGCGCGTGCGTGTGTGTGTAAATAAAATATTACATTATTATTCGCCCCCCTGCTTATTTTCCCCCAATTTCTGTTTTACGGAGAGCAGATTTTTTTCAGCACATTTCTAATCATAAATAGTTTTAATAACTCATCTCCAATAGCTGATTTATTTTCTCTTTGCCATGATGACAGTAAATAAATAATATTAGACTAGATATTTAAAGGCTTAACTAGGTTAATTAGGGTAACTAGGCAGGTTAGGGTAAATAGTCAAGTTATTGTGTACTGATGCTAGACTATCGAAAAAAAAAAGTAGCCTAAAGGGGCGAATAATATTGTCCTTAAAATGGTGTTTAAAAAATTCAAAACTGCTTTTATTCCAGCCGAAATAAAACAAATAAAACTTTCTCCAGGAGAAAAAATATTATCAGACATACTGTGAACATTCCCTGAATCTGTTCAACATCAATTGTGAAATATTTAAAAAAGAAAAAAAGTTCAAAGGGGGCGAATAATTCTGACTTCAACTGTATATATATATATATATATATATATATATATATATATATATATATATATATATATATATATACATTTGATCAGTTGAATAAGAGCGAATGCATGAATGCAGCATCCCTACTTTGGCATGCAGCAGGCATGTGGCTTTAAAAAAACGTTGTGTACAGAGGACAGAAGCTGGTCCCCGGAGGATAAACACACCACAGATTCTCCACAGGTGTGCCGGATTGAAAGCAGAAGCTTGGCATCAGTGTGCCGCTGACTGATTAGAAACAAAACGCCAGAGAGAGGCACTTTCAGTTGCATCATTAAAGCTGCACAAATCATAGGGGTTTTCTGACAAACATTTCCATTTTTCCAATCCGGTTCAGTGCTTCAGCAAATGCAAGCTAAAGGTCACGCTCACCGCATTCCTGCGCGACAAGCGATCAATCACGTCAATACGTTTAAAAATGTATCAAAGCGAGTGTCCTCAAAAGCCCTTTATTCATACAGTGTAATGTGTTTTCTCTGCTGACGCTTCTGTCTGCGCCCATATTGATTTTCTTCCCTGAAATGCAATGAGACATTTTGTGTACAGTGATACGGCAGCTTCACACACACACACACACACACACACACACACACACACTGAAGTTTGGGAGGTGTGCATTAGCCAGGTCTATTGTAATAATTTCAGCCTTGCATTCAGAGTCACATGCGGCGCTCTCCTCATTTCCACATGTCCTCTGGCTGCTCATTTCGGAGGCAAGAATTCCTGTTGAGCTGAAACCAGCATAATGCAGAAGAATGAAATCTGCAGCGAGACACTCATTCCACATGACCTTTTCCCGAGACGACGAGACGAGCGCTATTGAGGAGAAAAGAGGACACTTTGTACTTGAACGTGCTTGACAAGAACGTGGTGATCATCTTTCGTATCTTCGTTTAATTCTCATATGCTAATTGGCGGAAGAGTTGGTTTGAAGTTGCAGCGTGGCGAAGTTTGTCTTTTTAATTAAATATTCGATTTTTGGAGTTTCAGAAGAGAAAATACTGATGTGTTTTATTCAAGCAACCTGATAAACAACTGCAGGGAACATAAAAATAGCCAAATAAGTCAATTAATTCATTAAAAATGGATGCACTACAGTCGGAAAGTTTAGCTAACAGAAGGAAGCAGAATAAAGCAGAGCACTCATGTACAGGTGAAGCCAGAATTATTCGCCCTCCTTTGAATCTTTATTTCTTTGTCAAGTATTTCCCAAATAATGTTGAACAGATTCAGGGATTTTTTTTACAGTATTTCCGCTAATATTTGTTCTTCTGGAGAAAGTCTTATTTGTTTTGTTTGTTTTTAATTGTTTTAAACCCATTTTTAAGCTCAATATTATTAGCCCCTTTAAGCAATATTAGTGTTGGATTGTCTCCAGATTAATCCTTTGTTATACAATGACTTGCCTAATTACCCTAACTTTACCCTGATTACCCTAGTGAAGCCTTTAAGGCCGCATTTACACTGCACTGTTCAAGTGACTCAACTCCGATTTGTTTCTCCAGTCATGTGGCACAGATCGGATATGGCCCATGTACGTTTAAGCAGGAACAAATCACATGGATTCCAATGTACTCAGATCAGATTCAGGCCTTGTTCATATGTGGAAATGTATTCGATATGAATCTGATCTGTGTTCTCGTGTCTGCAGTGTAAACAGGTAGATCGTATTTTTACCTGTCAATGCGAGTCGTGCATCATTAAAAACAATAGCGAATGACGTCAAGTCTGAAACTTTCCTTTCAGAACAGACTTCAGCAGAGTCCCAAACCTTAAATGTCATACACGAGGACTTCTATATTGTCATATAGCACAGGTATTTAAGCATGTTAACGAGAGCGAGAGAGTGATATGTCCATCACAAAACCAATATAACACTATTGCATATCTACATCACATGCATAAATCATGTCATGGACATTACATTAAGATGCTTAAAGGTTTAAAAAAAAAAAAAAGCCTTAAAATAAGATGGACAAACGAGAAACTTTCTGTCCTAAACGATAGTAAAGCAGCTTGTCAAACGCTGTGAACAGATTACATGGAGGAATAGAGTAAAGAGCACTCTTTAAAGATTCACCTGATTTGTTGACAAGTGGGTTGTTGATCTATTCCTTGGCAGTTCGCAGGTCCTTTACTTGACCTTTTCCCCTACGCAAAGAAACTTCCCAAATACGTCTGTTTCTTACTCATTTTGCTGCTTTTGGGTTAAATTTGGATGCTACAGTGACCGACATGATTTCGAAATGCCCTTAAATAGAGAATTACAGGACTCCAAACTTGAGGTTATGAAAGCATGAATAACTGTTTCACATGACTTTCCAGAATGTCAACATTTCATTTAAATAAAACTCCTCACAAATGGGTTCCTTTGTCTCAAATTAAAACATTTTGTGGAAAGTAGCTCTGTAGTAATTGGGATAAAGTACATCCAAGTGGTTTATTTTCTTACACAATTTCTGTTTACCAGAGAGCAGATATCTGCAGCACATTTTCAATCATAATAGT